ATCCAGTAGAATCCAGCAGGATCCAGTAGAATCCAGTAGAATCCAGTAGAATCCATAGAATCCACTAGGATCCACAGAATCCGCCAGAATTTACTAGGATCCATAGAATCCGCCAGAATCCATGAGGAGCCGCGAGAATCCAAGGAGCCAGGAGCCGCTTTTTCCCCCTTGGGCCAGATCTTCTGAAAACTATGGAAATTTTCTGAATTTGGAATATTTTCAGATCGCTACTTTGTCACTGAAATTAAGTACGATCATAACCCATTACTTTAATAAATCAATAGTGTTTCATCAATTTTCTGTATTAATCATCTGTTACATGCCTCGTTCGAATTCTGGAGTCGAACTGATTTTCGGTTATATGAAGCGTTTATAGTCCGATTATCGTAATCCAGTAATATAGAACCAGATAATGCTTAACTTAAAATAAAAGTGATTGGTAATAATTCTTGAGAAGGTTTTTATTAGCATATGTTATCTTAAACAAACTTCTTAAAGCAAATTCCAAAAGATACGAAATATGAATAACAATACCGAGATGATGGAATTTAATGTTTTTTCCTCGTTGAATTTCTTAATCTACGCAGAATGAATGGGATTTAGTTTTGCTCGTTTTTGTGAACGAGTTTTAAATTTAAAAAGAAGCTCACCATCAAGTACCTGTTATTCATGTTTGCGTATTAGCTAAACGATATATTCACTATAGTTTTTTTCGCTTTATTTAAGTATCTTTGAAAATAAAGTTCCAGTCGGTGAACAGAAATGCAGCAGAATTTTGGATGCCAGTATTTTAGTGGAAGATCTACTCATTTGCCAAAAACTACCATTTTCTGATTTTTCAGAGATTTTTTCTGATCGTTTTCTGATTTTGAAAAAAGATTTCCTGATTTTGCAATTTTTGATCTGGCCACCCTGGTGTGTGGATGTGGACAAAATCTTGGAGAATACACCAACCGCGAGCCATACCCCACACCCTCAAGAGTACTATCTAAGACATCTATAACTGAGCCAATCAATAAAAAAAAAGTTTATATTTCTATGATATGAAATTAATATGTATATATTTTATTTTACTTAAAAAGTAATGTAAATATCAAAAGAACAATTCAAATAAGTCTTTTCACCTAAAATGATATACTCTCAACATTATGGATGTCTAAAATTAATGATTGGTTCAAAAATTGTAGTTATCAGAACTGACTCAAGAGAGCCATTGGTAAACCGTAGTTAATCATCGGTTTCAGTGTTGACAGGTGGCTAACCTCAGTTAGCTGTCGGTATTCACAAAAAAAAGATGACATGAGTAGCCTTCCTCCTTTTTCACGAGCGTATGAAAGTGAGACGTGCGAGAAACGTCGATATAAGTTGAGTGGGTACCGAATAGAAAAAAAAAACATTGTAAAATCATTCATCCGTTTCATATCAATAAAAGAATATGACTTTTCTAAGTATATCTATGCAAAACATCATATTTCAGGACTCAAAGAAACTGTTTTACAGGTGAGTATGAGTGTGTCTCTTAACTCCATGCTTCTACACCAATAGGAATAGATATAAGTCAAATTTGAGTTTTCAGAAAGAAAACAATCAAAAACTGGAACGCGTCACATTTTTTTTCTACTATGTATAAATAGATATGCTTGTGTATCTAGCATATGTTTTCATCTGTACCAACAATTATACATTCCATTATCTGTACATTGACAAAATCTTCTAAAAACTAAACACTAACCTTTATTATGCTTATGACAAAACATAGAATTTCTTTCCTTCGTGCATTTTAGAAGTAAAATTTAGATTCTTACCGAGAACGTATACAAAAAACGATCCAATGAGTGTCCATGTGGTATCCTACAATCTATTAGTACCAATTCTTGCTGAAGAACCGGGATACTTTTATAAATGTCATCCAAAATATATCGATAGAAATTATCGATTAGGCTTCATTCAATCTGAACTGCAACGAGAAATTTCTCGTCACAAAAATGCAATCATTTGTTTACAAGAACTTTGTCGAACAACGATACCGTTATTTAATGAATTTTTTCGCCAACAAAATTACCGCTTGATTCATAAATCCTACGGTGAAAAATTTAATGACTATATGGGTGTTGGCATAGCTATACCAAACTCTATGCGATCCGCATCTGCCGCGTTCATCAAAGTCAGTGATAAAATTAAAGCTCGCTTAAGTCAGAAAGCAACAGATAGCTTGTCAATATTGAGTAGATTTCGTCAATATTTAAGAGACAAATCTTCGCGTGGAACATCTGATCCTTGGGATATTGCTATGAATAAAAAGAATATATTGATATTTATACGGGTTATGATTCATGGAGTTCCTTTATGTATCGGTACGTATCATATGCCTTGTTTGTACAAATTTCCTGATGTCATGTTGATACATGCAACGATGGTAAAAGATTTAATGTTTGAATTGGCAAGGGGAGATAACATGATTTTAGCAGGCGATTTCAATATGCAACCTACTGCTAATTGTTATCGTGCAATTACTGAACTTGGCTGTACTTCTTGCCAGCTGCCAAAATCAAAAATCTATGAAGTTTATTATCGACCTGATGCTAATCATATATTAAGAAGTGCCTATGTAGAAAAAAATGGAATTGAACCACCTTTTACTGCATTCTCATCCACTCCAAATAGTCCTGACTTTTGTGCTACTATGGACTATATCTTTTTTTATGGTCGCCTTCTAGTAAATAATGTATTACGTTTGCCAAATTATCCAGATAGTGAATCTTATCCTGATGCAACGCATCCTTCCGATCATTTAATGATTGCAGCAACTTTTCGATTGGGCTGAACAGAAATACACACAACATTCTTCTTTCCTATTTCAAAGACAACGATACATTTGTATTGTTTTAATTTTTTTTCGCTTCACTGACGTACTCGTGTCTGCATTCTAAATCTATGTAATTTTCATTATTCAAAACTTGAACCTAAGTTTTTTATGTTTGTCATTTTCTCAGGAGGGAAACATGATACTTTTGTACTTTAAAGTACGTAACTCACGGTGAAGTACGGCAAAGTATCTATTAAATATCATATGCATTGTACTAATCGATATGGTGCAATAGTGTGCTGGATAAAGTATCAACTAGTTTTTCTCCACACGAACTACATTTGAGGGTGTGGGTGTGAGAAGAAATTGAACATCGACCAACACCCCGAGTTGTACACCGATAAACATTCACAGTGAATTACGTAGGGAAAATCCAATAGCGCTGAATAAGACTGTTCCGTGCGTCTTGCTCATTCATGATACTTAGCAACTGAGTCTCTGTTTACCGCGGCATGAAACCCTTACACTTTTATCCCGTCCAAGTATTAATAATAAAATTCGAAGCCATTGAAGTGTCGCTGTTTTGTTCTGTTCTTCGAAGAAATAGAATTCTTTTTTTCTAGAAGCAGCGAGAAAGTGAGAGAAAAAAAGAATAAAAAACAATCGACTGTTATTAATTTTTGATGTCACGAAAAGCGTGTTCTGCTGCGGAGTGAACAGGCGAACGAGAGTGTTTTAAATGTACAAAGATGTTATATATTTCATTACTAGAATGACTTTCTTCCCTCCTCTGTATCCTTGGTCACTGGATCCGCATGTTTTTGTTGTATAAAAACTCTTGTCAGCGCACTTCCATTGTGACTAAAATGTGGATTTCATGTATGTCTTATGGCCTTGATAAACTGATAACAATGCGTAAAAATGAAAAATTGTCGGACTACTCATTTTTCAAAAGAATTGATCATCAGACCAAATACCGGTCTCATTTATTTTTACATTTTGAAACGATTATCTTTTTTTTTCCGTGCGCTCCTTTCTTACTTTCGCATTTTATTGTTTCTTCGTTCTCTTCTCATCTTTTTATTCTAATTAGTAATTGGTTGAAAATGTCTGTAACGGGAAGGGGTGAGTGGGGAGCCACAAAGAGCTCGCCCTTAAACTTACATTCAGTATTTTCCTCGAAAACTTATGTGAATTCCACAAAATAAGACCTGTGCTCGACACATCGTCGCGGAAGATGTATCGTCTAACCGATCTGACTGTATGCCGAAAACACATAGGGTTGTTCAGAGCCGAACGTTTATGAATAGCCTAATATTGTATTAAACAGAATCTTTTATGGAGCTCACATACGTGTTTTCGCACGAAATAGTGAGAGTAAATTTTAGGTTCAAGTTTTCCAGTCACATCTCAAATGGGTGTGGGTGTGGGTGTGCATGAATGGAAGATAAGCAATAACTACACATACCACACACACCCACACCCGTACCCACACACCCACATCCACACACCCACAACTGTTGTTAGAAATCGCGATTTACAAGAAAAACGGTCGGTACAGTTGTTATTATTTGACAGTCTCGGAGTTTTTTGTTTTCGTTGAAGTTTATTTTTCTTCAAGAGTCGTGATGTTGGACATTTGAAGTAGAAGAAAAATCTCGATTGATTCTATTCGAAAGTAATATTGTGATTCTTGTTGTTGATTACGACAAATCTAGTTACAAAATAACGCTATATATAACACTGCGCTTTTCTTTTCATTTACCTTTCTTAAAAAAGTAATGTTGACATTATAGACGGTATAATCAATGCATATAAAACCATTTTATTAGGTGATAGTAGTTATTTTACATCATTTTCTTTCAGATTCTGTTGCTGATAATTCAATCTGTCTTTAAGAATCATAGATTGTTGTACGTAAACAATGTGCGCTAACTCATGCTGGCCGAATGGGCAAAGTTGGAAACACTATTGGCCTGCTAGGATGGTATCTTTAATTGCTGTCCTTCAGCTTTTTGTTTCGTTTGCTGTTGGGGGACTTCATATTGCTATTGTTACTATTGGTTCAGTTTCACTTTGTGCTGTTTTTATGAGTTGGTATGTTATCGGCTTTGTTTTCTTGGGAGTTTCCATCATATGCTGGATTTCAATCTGCTGTGTCAGTATGTACTCATTGTTTTACTACTTATTTCTAAATTTAAACTCAGAAGCACCATAGTATATATTCAACAGCATAATAGAATACAACTATGAATCAGAGAAGAAAAATCTAGCATAAGAATGAGTCATAATTGCTAAGCGAGATCTAGTCAAAGTTCAGACCTTCTTAAACAAATTCAGGTGTGAGATTCAACTGAGAGTTTCAACAAAGTGCAAACGTCTTTGGCGTCCCATTTAGAACGTTCTATAATGGATAATCTTTTTTATTTAGTCAGATTGGAAGATTGAAAAAAAACAGAGATTTAGACCACGATTTGATAAATTAATTAGGTTACGTCTTAATGGAGAATAATCTCAAAAAGAGTTATCAAAATACTGAAAGCGACACAATGAAATATTTCCTTAGAACTGAAAAAATACTATTCCATTTTGTCTTATATATTCAATTGGATGCATGCTTTTTCCAAAAACTAGCTCATTCGAAGAAAGTTTCAGAATTCAGTGAAGTAGTTTATCACTGATCTCATACATTGCATGATTTGTAGTCTAAACTAGAATTTTGAACTCCCCTTAACATATTTTCCTTCAGTTTTTTTATTGAAACTTTGTTTTGATTAGGTTGCTGTAATCGATCATCTGTTGCTTGTGCAACATATGTAATGATAACAAATGTTCTTACTTTCATCTTAGCAGCTGTACTGATCAGTTTTGATAACAAATTTATTAATGGTCAATTGTCTCCAGATTCTGTTACGAGCAGCCTTAGCTGCATAACATCATATTAGAATACGAGCAATCTATCGTCAATTTTTCTTGGAATAACCAAAGGACAATTAGCTGGCTCCGTTATCATGCTTGTGTTATCTCTGCTTTTTATTGCTATTTATATCTATGTATACATACGAGCAGTACGCGATGATGAGTACAGACCGAATGATCATCGACAACGGCCAGGTCAACATGCATCCAATCAGACTCCAGATTACGAAATCCCAACACCGCACACAGTTCCCCCATTGTCACGGCGGCCACCAGGAATAGCTTATTTGAAACCTAATAACGCTCGCTATGACAATCAGCCCCCAGGTATCATTTGTCCTAGTTGCGGAGCAGCAGTGGTAGTAATTGAACAATTTTAAAAATATTTTCTTCAAATTATATTCAGTGATTATTTTATTTATTTTTCTTTCACTGATCTCTCGTGACTTCAAGAAACATTTCATATTTTTAGTCAACTTATTCCATAATCTTTAACATTACTTATACTTATGTTTGGATGCTTTTCTTAATATTCAAATAAAATATAATATTCTTAATTCGATTCTATAGACAACGTTAATTTGATGTATGGTGTAGGTTTCATACAATGGGGTATATGATGTCAATCTTAATTTGAAACGAAAAAAGAGCACCTCATTTCAAAACAAAATGAGGAACTAAGGGATCTATGGAATAATTCACTTTAAACACGAATTCTGAATTCATATATGTGTAAGTCCCCCTATGGGCTTTTTTCGATGAGTGTGTGTGTGGGGGGGGGGGCTTGTGGGGACTTTGCTGGAATTCACTTGAATCCTGAATTGAAGACTTGCGTGTTCCCATTCAGCTATTGCTGAATTCGAATTAATAATTAAAAGACCTTTTTTGTTCTATTTAATTTTTGTGAATATGGTTGGGATCATAACAAACCATCAGCATAGTATCTTGAAAGATATGTTTGATGTGTTGCTTTTAGTGCGAAGTTGGCATTGTTAGTATTCATTTCATGAGTTATAATTCAATGTGAAATATTTTGTCCATTTTTGTTTTTGTTTTAACTCAATATGCTTCTTGTGCATATGGATAGTTTGCATTAGATCTGAAAGAGTATATTTGTGTTTTAGTTTGATTTTAAAATTTGATATCGATATGATTGATAGTTAATTAATTCGAAAGAGTAAAAGTATTTTTCTTTCGCCTTCGACTCGACATTGTTATTCATATGATTAAACTGTTGAATGAAAATTGAATCGGAAAAATGTGATTTATCATCTCGTTTTCATTCTAAGTTAATGTAAGTCTCGTGCGTATAGTTTATTGGTATTATATTTGAAGGAAGAAATTTTTTTAATTTTCGTTTCTCAATGGGTATCGATATGTTCGAAATGGTTTTTGATATGATTAAAGTGTTCAATCGAAATTCAATTTGAAAAAGTATATATATTTTTTTGATTTAGCTTGAAAATATATGTTAATATGATCCAAATAGTTAGTTCATATTGAATTGGTAAACGAATTTGTTTTTGCTTGTGATATTAAATTGAAATCGATATAATTGAAGCGTTGAATCAAAATTCAATCTTAAAAAAGTTATTTATCGTTTTGTTTTAGTTTGAAAATTTATATGAATTTGATTGAAATAGTCAGTTAAGATTGAATTGATAAACGATTTTTTTTATCGAGTTCGGTATTTGTTCTTTTTTTAAATTTATTTATCCATTGAATTCGATATTGAATTTTTGTACTCGATGATTTCCGTTATCGACGACGTAGAGGTTATCGTGTCCATCGAATGAAAAACCGATGGACCCATTGAGCTGGTTCGATTGTCCGCCTTCACTGTTTCCACCCGCAATTATACTTTCTCGTGTGGCACCTTTGAGTCAACGCATGATTCGAGCATTCCTTCGGTCAGCCATATAGACAGTACCCAACTGATCGAGAACGACTCCTCGAGGATATGATAATTGTGTATGGCCATCTCCTCCTTTAGTGGTGCAACCAAGATAGAGCATGGTTGGCCTGTGCGCCCTACCGCCGGTCGTTATTCAAAAAAGATCTTTTTTTATGATGCTATACACCAGAGGTGTGTGGGGCAGGGAATTTTCGTGCCCCGCGAATTTCCAACAACCGTCCCGCCGACCCCCACGCAGTTAAATTACGTAAGCTCCCCGCCCCGCTCGCCCCCGTACAAAAACACACACCCGCCTCCCCGCACCCGTGCACCCAGAGGTGCCACATCGCCCCGCCCGCCCGCCCGCCCGCCCGTCGATTTGATGAAGGGGCCCGCCCCGTCCGTATCGCCCGAAGAAATTTTATATTTAACAAATTGTTTATTTTAAATTACTTATTGTATATAATTAATTAGATTTTTTAACAAAAAATCTGAGAAAAAGTGTAGGGTGACGGTGGTGTCCATTTCCTCCATGTTTCTAATGGCACCCACAACCTGTTTTATGTAGTATTTATATATATTATTTGTGTAATTAAATCTTTTTATCAGATAAATTGTTCTTTTCTCATTTTCTACAACTTTGATGTAAATAAATTACTGTTATTATTGCGCGAAGATATTCTAAAGTTACCTGATCTCTTGTGGGATTGAAAAAGGTGGTAGTTAGGCGAATTTATAGCTAAAATAATGTGGTAAAACAGAAATATGAGAG